GGCTTCATTCTTCAGTCAAACATGCGAGTGTCAATGATTTTTTTATCATCACTAGTTTTAATGCAGCCCTGACCTGGGAACTCGGTCTGACTTCAACGTAATCTTTGTAATACAAAGTCTTGGCAAACTCTTAAACCCATTCAAAAGTTCATGTTTTGATTTGCGCATTTAGAAGTGGGACGCTAATACACTTCACCGGCTCCTCGATCTGCATTGCGCCACAAACAGCGGTTTGGGAGGTCCCAATTTCTTTGAAAACCTCCCGTTCACTGATCGTGGATCTCTTCCAGAGCCGGAGGAGCTATATTACTCAGCAGAAAATCGTGTGTTGGAAAATCGGAGAATCTCTAAGACTTTAAAAACCCCTGTTGTCGTGCTTGAGGAATCTGAAAATGTGGAAGAGGTTGAAGATGCAGAAGAGTTGGATAAAAACGAGGTGGAAAAGGCGAAAATGGACTCGGAAGAGGTGTTATCGGCTGAATCCTCTTCCTGGCACAAAGGCTGTATAGCTGAACAGCTCTGGGCAGCTCACAGCAACATTCTCCGATCGACCGCCGCCTATGCAGCTATGATTCGCGGCGCCGCTCGTTTTGGTGCCGCTGACAGAGCCTGGGAATTAGCTGAAGAGGCTATTTCTGCGTCTCATAAACTTCCTCTTCCTGTGTACAATGACCTTCTCCGCTGTGCACATGAATGCAACAATACTGATGATGTATGGCCTCGTCTATGCCAAGGTTTTGAACTCCTCAGGAACGCCAAATTATTCCCCAACGTCACTACTTTCACTTTCGCCCTTTACTCTCTCTATAAGAGCAATGCCAAAGCATTAAAAGGCGACAAGTCTCAGGACTATGCAGATAAGGCCCTTGGGTTGCTATCTGAAGCTCGTCGTCTAGGCATCCAACCCACTCTTGGTCTCTACGCTAATCTCCTTCGTACCGTCTACATGTCACGCCATGCACAATCTGGAAGAGGTTATCGCCTGGCTGAGTTGCTAACAGAAATTCTAACAGATCTTGAGACTCGCTGTTGGGAGGAGATAAGTCGAGCCGACGTATTTAATAGCACGGATGATTACGATTTTGCCAACACTGCTATGATCTGTGCCACTGCTGACCCTTCATCCGCCTTCTCTCTCCAACTGGTGCAAAGAGTCTATGACCTCCTACATACTCGGTGCGGCGATCGACGTTTCTTACTTCGAAATAGTTTGGAGGCGAGAAACTTCTACTCGCGATATCTCTTGACGAAGCTACTACATGGAGGTGGGCGAGTTCATGATTTGAGAGACCTTTACCGTCACCATCGACAGATATTCCACGCCGATCAGGGCGTATACAAGGTCCTCCTTCATCGATTAAAGGGTGTGATAGCGAGATGGGAGGAGACTTTTGAAGATTTGAAAAAAGGGGCTGCAGAAAGAAATGGAATTGATAAAGAAACACTGGACACTCTTGAGTCATCGGCCTCGCTGGCCTTTGAGGTATTGGGCGAAATGGTCTTTGACTTTGTAGCTATTACCACGAAACTGCCGAGAAGGCTTCCTGTGTACATCTCCGACACTTTGATGCCCTTCTACTTTGTTGGTGAGTCGTTGCCTTGGCTGTTTGCTGTCATTGAACCGTCGTATAGGGAAGGGACATTATTATCCTCATACTTGCACTTTCTTAAGATTATGATTTTTCTTACTGTGTTTACGTTCCATTAGGGAATGGGTCTTTTGAACACTCATGTCGAGATAGTAAGCGGCTGATCAGATGTTCATCGCACTTGTTGATGTGATTGAATTTTTCGCTCCTGCTACAAACATACTACACAGTTGTGTCCAGTGTAGAAAAACGTGCGAATGACGGCAACTTTTTTACTAGGCTGCAAGACAATTCGACTTGTCTAACAAAAGGACAGTTAACAACTCTTTTCTCACTTTTACAGTTCCAAAATCAAATAGAATCTTTATGAAACATACGAATACATTTTACATTTGGGTGACAAAGCAGCATGAGATAATCTTAGCATGTTTTTTTCGTCCCAACAGATCCTTGGTGTGAAGTGCGCTCGCCCTTCTCCCACTGTCGTCATCCGCTGCGAGCTATTTCAGAAGCGGGCAGTCGGGCTGCCTACCGGGCAGCAGCAGCGTTTGCAGAATTATTATGTTGCCAGGATTCGCCCACTGCTATTACCACCTCGACCGCCGCCAGTCCTCTTCTCTCCACTGCCGAGTTTACTGCTCTGGTCCGAATGGCCCTCCATCCTACTGCCTTCAACACCGGGGCTGACGCTCAACAAACTGTGGCAGAACGAGAGACAAATGAACGTGCTCTTGCATGTGCCATCGACTTGATAATGGCCTCTTGTAGATCTGTGGCCACTTATGGAACGCCTGTCTCTGATGTGGCTGCAGTGGAAGTACTGCGCTCATGCTGGCATACGAGTTCTGAAGTGATCACGTGGGTTGTGTATTTAACTTTACTTTTACTTATTGTTGTATAAGTAGTTAGTATTGTCTGCTTAGAATCATGCGTT